CACGGCGGGGACGGAGCTGGTCAGCTGTGACGACACATGCCGCCCTGGTGTCCGGCACACAGCAGGCACCCAGAAACCGTTCGCTGGGGAACCACGCCGGGCAGTGGATGAACTGAGTGAGCGGGTGGGCAGATAGGAAGGGTCCCTGTGAGGCGAAAGGTTGACTGTTCACTCAGACGCTGAGCAAGCCAGGTGACAGGAGACAGGATCCCAGGGCGGGGTTCAAGTACGTCTGGGGAGGACGCTGACCTTCCCCTTGGACGCTGACCTTCCCTTTGCCCCTCCTTTAACCTCCTCACAGGGATCCTGACCAAGCCGGACCTGGTGGACAAGGGCACCGAAAAAATGGTCGTGAACGTGGTGCAGAACCTCACGTACCGCCTCAAGAAGGGCTACATGATCGTGAGGTGCCGGGGCCAGCAGGAGGTCGCAGACAGGCTGAGCTTGGCGGAGGCCACCAGGAAAGAAACGATGTTCTTCCAGGCACACCCCTATTTCAGGTGGGACTCCCCAAGGCAACCCTAGAACCGGGCTCCCCGGCGGCCAGCGCCATCTGCTGGCTCCGTGCGGGACGGCAACCACCCTGCCCGGGGTGGGGGGGATTCTAGGATGCAGAGCAACGTGCCGCTGTCTATTTTGGTGTTAAATTCATTGGCTTGTTTAAGCGAGTCGTTTTTGTCCTGGATGCTAATGGCGATGCTGATTACAAATTGTCATACGGCATTTTATAGAGCATAGGGCACTTCGGTTTCCCAAAGTGTTTTCACTTGCTTTCTCATCGGACGCCCACAAAATCTCGAGACGTATATCTGGCAGGTGAGGTTCTTCCCACCTTCATAGACAAGGATAATGAGGTCACACCAATAGCGAGTGGAGATCAGACCAGACACAGACCTGGGGTTGACTGTCATAAACGGGGACCTGTGTTAGGGTGCTCTCCAGCCCGTGAGAGCTGCAAACCAGCCGGTTTCGTTACAGATGAATTATCCTGCGGAGACTGCAGTGTGCGAGGCTTTGGGATTTTCCCCCATGGAACTGGCGCTCCGCCCTTCCATCTTACTCCGGAGCTCGCTGGCCCCAAACGATGGGGGAGGTCACTCCTGCTGTGAAGAGAGGCACGGCAGGGACCCAGAATTTGGGCCGAGCGGGTTTGCTGTGCACCCTTGGGAGGCGGCTCAGCCTCTCTGAGCTGCTGCTTTCTCGTCTGCCCAGGGCGCTGCTCCCGTGTCCGGGGGGTGTGTCTGGATGAAGGAAGATGACACATGCAGAGGTCCTGGCACGCCGACCGCCAGTACTCCTGCCCTGAGTGGCGTTGAGGGTCACAAGGAGGCAGACCCTCTGCTCGCTGAGCAGAGAGATTTTGTAATGACCACACCCATGTTCTTGGCTGTGAGCAGCCAGCAGGACCGCCTGAAGGAACTGTGTGTTAAAATCCGGCTGGCAGCATGTCCCAGGTCCCGAGGTCCGTCCGGGGTGAGGCCCAGACGTTTGTGTTTCTATCACGTTCGGTACAGGATGGTGTTCCCAGTTCGGGAACGCCGTCTGAAAACCGCTGCTCGAGAGTTTGGGGGAGAGTCAGGTCTTGATGGAGCAAGTTGTAGTGCTTTGTCGCTGGACGTCCAAGGTCAAGTCCTCGAGCTCCTGCGTACTGGGACTCAGCCCCTGCACGAGAGGCGCTCAGAGCAGCGTGGCAAAACGGTCCTCTGGGGCCCTTCCTAAATTCGCGTTTGGACGCCTGCGTCTGCAGCCAGGCTGCCTGGCCCGGCCCTGGAGGCGGGGAGGGACCAGTTAACCTCCCCGTGCCTGTGCCTTTCCCTCTGTAACTGGTCGTTCGACGATTAAATACATTAACATTTTTGGGTCCTGAGAAGGGTGCCTGACATGCAGTAAGCATTGTGCAAACGTTTTTCAAATTCACTTTTATTGTGCAAAGAACACTCAACATGAGACCTACCCTCCTTACAACCTTTTAAGTGACAACAAAGGACCGTGAGCTACAGACTCAGTGTTGTTCAGCAGATGTTTAGAATTTACTCATCTGGTGCTGCTGAAACCCTGTGCCCACTGACTGGCGCCTCCCGGTTGCCCCTCCCCCAACCCTGGCGGCCACCATCCGGCTCTGGGATGGATAAACACCCAGAAATGGGATCACTGGATCACACAGTAGTTCTGTTTGTAATTTGTTTTGAGGGGGTGGGGGAGGGCGCTACACCCTTTCCCACTCCCGCCAACCGTGCGCGAGGGTTCCAACTTCTCAGCATCTTCCACGGCCAACACCTCTGTCTCTCGCTCCTTTTTAAAATAATATTCATCCTAGCAGATGTGAAGCGCTATCCCATTGTGGTCTGGATTTGCATTTCCCTGATGATTAGAGGCACTGAGCATCTTTCTCTATACTTACTGGCCATTTGTATGTCTTCTTTGAAGAAATCTCTACCCAAGTCTTAGCCCTTTTTTCCATTATGTTATTAGTTTTGGGTTTTGTGGTTTTTTGTTGTTGTTGTTGCTGTTGTTTTTTGCTATTGAATGGTAGGCGTTTCTTATACTTTTTGAAAATTAAACCCTCATTAGATATATTGCTCGTAAACAATTTTTTTTATTCTGTAGTTTGCTTTTTCCTCTGTTCATCATTTCTTTGCCGTGCAGAAGCTTTTTGTCGAGTCCCACTTGAGTCTATTTTTGAGTCTATTTTTCTTTTGGTCTGTGTCCTTGGTGTCACATCCATGAAATCACTTCCGGGACCAATATCATTAAGATTTTTCCCCTGTGGTTTTTTTTTTTTCTAGGAGTTTCACAGTTGCAGGGTTTACGTTTAAGCCACAATCGATTTTAAGCTGACTTTTGCGTACAGTATGAGATAAGGACCCAACATCGTTTGTTGAAGAGACTATGCCTCCCCCACCGTGTGTTCCTGGAACCGTTATTGAAGAGCAGCATGGATTTATTTCTGGGCACTCTGTTCTGCACATGTCTGTCTTTATATACGGGCACCATCGTGTTTTATGATAGTAAACTGTAGCTTCGTAATATATTTTGAAATCAAGAATGTGATTCTCCTTTCTCAAGGCCCATTTGGCTATTCTGGAATAAATATTTATTACAAGAAATAAAATCCTAGTTTGGACGTGTCGCCAAACTTCTGAGGCAGGTTCATTTTTGTTTTCCTGTAGATACAGATGACTCGTTGGGATGATAAAGAGAGAAAATGAATGTAACTTCCTAGCATCATGCCTGCCTCGGGCTAAGCTCATCCCATAATTCACAACTGTCTTTCTCAGGCACTGCCAGGATTTTCTGATGGCACGTGTGGCCCCAGGGAGCTAAGCTCACCTGCCCACTCACCGAGCCCAGTGCGGGGAAGACGACCCCGTGGGAACTCATGTGTGTCATCTCGTTGCAGAGCCCTCCTGGAGGAAGGAAAGGCCACAGTGCCCCGTCTGGCGGAAAGACTTACCATCGAGCTCATCACGCACATCACTGTGAGTCAAGGCGTGGGCTGCAAGCTGTGAAAATCGCAGCCTGTCCCGGTCACTCCCTGGTCGCGAGTTGGTTTAGGATGCCCCACGGAAATGCCCAAACAAGCAAACAAATGAGCGCGTCCGGGATGTCCCTGATCAGAGGCGCACGGGAGAGCTGCTAAAGCGGGAGGGACGGCTGCGCAATGCCAAAACGAAAAGGCGGATCAGTCGATCTGGGGGAAGAAGAAGGGAGGAAACACTCATACACGTTGAGCAGCACGAACAGGAGCGAGGACCAGGGTGGCAGAGCTCTCTGCTGTCGGCGGGTCGCTAGCACATCATGGTATAAGAGACCTTTTCCCAGCCTCCAATGTGTAAGAAATACGGGATCGGTGTTCAGTGCTTCTCAAAAATGGGCGCCTCTGCAGAGGTACTTCTCGTGGTGCCCTCAAAGACGGCAGAAGTGCGGGTTCGCGCTCACGGGGAAGCGGGGCGTCTGTAGGCCTCCCCTGGACCTCGCGCACGAGGCCGGACAGCGTGACGAGGTGGGAGGTCAACCCTCAGAGCAGAGACGGTCCCAGGGCCTGGGCGTCACACCCAAGCGATGGATTCTTCTGAGCTGGGAAACACGCACCCCGACAATATTCGGCTGAAGGAGGCGGTGCTTCTGAAATGGCAGTGCACACAGGAATCGCCCGGGAATTTAATTAAATCTCACGCTCCTGGACCCCAGACCCAGAGTCTCCGAGTCAGTAGGTCTAGGGTGGGGCCCACAAATTTGCGCTTGTACGTTCCCAGGTGACCCCGGGAACACACTTCGAGAAGCACCGATTCTAGTGAAATCCCCTCATTTCTTAGAAGAGGGCTCCAAAAGAGATAACCTAGTCTAATTGAGAAAAACGCCTTTTTTTTTTTTTTTGCAAAAAGATGTTGCATTTTGATAACTTTTTTGATAACGTATTTCTCAACATTTAACTACTTTACATTAAATTTTAAATTAAAATTTTGTGAAACCTTAACTTTAAAATTTTTACCAAGACTCAGTTATGATAATTATAATTTGAAATAGCAAAAATTATTTAAATATATTTCTACCTGTGGCTACAAACCGTCCAAAAAGAAAAAAAAAAAAGGCGGCGAGACCTGATTAACGTCTCGGGGCCACGTTTATCGTCATTTAGAGTCGCCTTGGCGAGCTGCTTCTCAATCCCGGCGAGCTCATCCTGGCCTACTGGCTGCAGCGACCTCTTGCGGTGAATTAGAAATCAGGGTCGCTGCTCACTCGGGTGTATTTACCTGCCGTGCTCACCTGCACGGGCTTTGGAGGCGGTGAGCGGGGTGCGGATCGAAACTCTGACGTTGACCGGCTCGGCGATGACATGAGTTTGCTTCTCCGAGCCTCAGTTTCTCTCTTGTGAAAAGGAGGCATACTGCAGCGGGGGCTTAACCGCGAGGCGGGAGGGTTGGAACGACGCTCGGCCAAAGTCTACCGTCCACGGGGCCGTTCCCCGTCCTTCCTCCTCCTCGTCCTTCCTCGATCGGTTATGCCCGCACCCTGCCTGTACCCGCCTGACGCCGACAGCCAAGACACGTGCTCCACTAGAGCATCATTGATCAGCTTGTAACCCTCAAATTATCACCATCGGAACATGTTGCTGAAGAAAGTTTACATCGTGGTCGCGTGTACTTGTTCTCAAAATACAAAGCACCGAGCCAAACCAACGAAAAGCAAAAGCACAGTGTGAGCGCAGACCCCTGTGGCAGCCGGCCTCGCTGTCACTGTCGCGTACCCCCAGGGCGTGCGAGGCCCGGCCCCCGGCCGCTCGCCAGGCCTTCGAAGCCACCAGCTTCACACGACAGGAAGAATTCTGCATCCCCTCGGACGCCTTCCCATGGGCCCTGACCCTACCCCCAACCCTCTGTCTGGCTGCTAATTTCAAACTGTAGAGTTTCATCGTTTGCCATCGTTATTTTCAGAAATCGCTCCCGTTACTGGAAAGTCAAATACGGGAATGCCACCAGAGTGCGACGGACGAGCTGCGCCAGTGCGGGGAGCACATCCCCAGCAGTGACAGCGACAGAATGTTCTTTCTGATTGAGGTGAGGACTGGGGACTGGCGCCCCGTGACACTCAGGCGCGGGAACTGGCCTCTGCAGCACCGGGTCCCCGCAGATGGCCACAGCCTTCCTGGTGACCCTCTGCTACGGGAGGTGGCCTGCGCTTCGCCGCCGGGGTCCCGCCGGGACCTCTGCTCTGTCTCCCTCCGTCTCACCTGGGAGATGAGGTGGTGGGGAGGGGGGGCGCCTCCAAACCCCAACGCCACACGCCACTGCCCCGGGCCCCCGCTCCTCTGTGGCTGCGGCACAGATTGAAGACTTAATCTCGTTTTCAGAAAATTAAAATGTTTAATCGGGACATTGAGAAGCTGGTAGAAGGAGAGGAAGTCGTAAAGGAGAAAGAGACTCGCTTATACAACAAACTCAGAGAGGAGTTTAAAGCCTGGGTCTTGGTCCTCGCAGCCAACACCCAAAAAGGTAAGTCCCGAGACAGCGCCCGAAAGCAGAGTCCTGGACACCAAGATCGAGAGCTACTTCCCGCTCACGGAAAGCGAGCAAAGAGCCGGGCCCCTCGGTGATCCACACCCGCCCCCGCCACCCGCACAGAGCGCCCCCACCTCTCCGGCTTCCTCCTCACCCCGTTTCCCTTTCTCTTCACCCCTCATCCAAGACCGAATGAGAACGTGCTTGCCCCGCCTGGCAGAGTTCCACCTGCCGTTCTGCCCCTGCCCAGATGCAGTGGGGCACATGCGTGTGTGTGTGTGTGCGCGTGCGCATGCACGTGCGTGTGTGAGATGCCTCTGCTCTCTTTGGTACTCGATAAAAACAGCACTAGTCACTAGGTTGTCTCCCCTGCGTTCTGGCCGTACCCTTGAGCAACCTGTAAATCGACAAGAATGTGCAGCTCTCTATTTTCATTGAACTGATCGCATTCTTCTCTACCAACTAGAAACACTACACTTCTCTCTCGGGGTAACAACTCTCAACTGAAATTTTTATAGAAGAAAGTTTTTGTTTCTTGAAAGTCATTGTCAGAACCATGGTTTTTTTGGTTGGTTTTTTTTTTTAATTATGAAAAGAACTCCACTTAGAAACGTTGCCTTAGGGTACAGCGGGTAAACAAGACCTAAAAAAAACAAAAAAAAAGTCTGTGAAATGATTAGAATTCACTCAGGTGGTTTGGTGGTTTGTCTTATATTGTAGTTAAAAATACGGTTCACCAAGAAATTTCAAAATACGAAAAGCAGTATCGCGGCAAAGAGCTTCCGGGGTTTGTCAACTACAAGACATTCGAGATCATCGTGCAGCAGTACTTGCAGCAGCTGGTGGACCCCGCCCTGGAAATGCTGCAGAAGGCTGTCGGTGAGGGTCCTGCCCTGGCCCCCCCGCCCCACCCCCCGCCCCC